AATCGAGGTTACAAGATGAGTGCGCTATCCGTCGTACCAGCCGCCAATACGAAGCCAGCGTCATGAAGTGGCACAAGGAGTACAGCAGCATTAGGCATTAGAATGTTAAGAAGTTGGGAAGACCTAAGTAGGCCAGTCTGAAATTGTCATAGATAAATCAGGAGGTGGTTCTTACACAAAGAATGAATAAGGTTGATGATCAAAAAAGTATTCTTGAAGGTGAGCGATCTTAACCTGCAAGAACCCCTTGTACTGATACGATTAAAACATCACTGCAAGCTTCGTCAGAAGAGCAGTTGGTTATTTTTTTTTTTGAAAAGAATATTTTAGCTTTATACATCACTGAGATATCAGTGGCAGGCTTTTCGAAGTTCACAGTCGTACAATTTTCGGAAGTCCAGATCGGTTTTTGATAGCTTTGGAGTGTTTTGATTCGCTTTCAAACAGATCAGAAAGCTTCAGCAACCAAACTGATGACGTTCTGCTGTTATCTGCTGGTCATTCCACGAGCACTAAAGCCATTTTCTTATTTTGAATTAGATGAACCATTTAGCAATGTTTCTACTCTGTGTTATATATAATTTCAACTTTTAAATTTCCTGGTACTAATTAAGTCTATAACAAAAAACTGTTCAAATATGCACGAAAAAACAATTCCATTTGTTTGCAGACGTGACAGTAAATTTTTCTTAATATTGTCATTTAAACATTAATTGCACCGCAAAATTTCATCATGCTAGTGTTATTTCTTAAGCCATAAGCTGTGAGTTTTTGACTTGCAAAACCAACATTAGCATAATGAGGTTTTACAGCGCAAGTATGGTTGAACAAAAAATACTGAAAAAAATAGAAAAAAAGATGAATATTTCTTTATATTTTCAGTGTGCAAAATTATTTTTGTATTTTTTATGTGGAGGATAGTACAAGTGAGGCAGCAGTGTAAATGACCCTTTAGATCTGAATGAATGAGCAACCAACTGCCAACGTCAGCTGCTTTCAGTCGCATCAATATTTTTTAAAACTGTATTTTGACTATTAAATAAGAGAAAGAAACCTACCAATAACTAGGACAGTAATTACTGCAAGTAAAGCTTAATACACCTCTTTGTTAACAAATTATAAGCGTAGAAAGCAGTTTTATTGTTTTTTAAATCCTTGTAGCTCAAAAAGCAGTACATTTAGTTAAACCATAGAAACAGTTTATGACTGAAGAAAAAAGAATAAACAGTGACTTAAACAATAAAACTTTGGTCCAGGTTCAGAAAACTTAATGCACGAAAAGATGAACCCACAAAAATATTTGTTACGAAAAGAAACAAAAAAAAAAAAATAGGGGGCAAAAACTCTTATATGAAACAGCGATGATAACAGTATTAATCATGATTATTAACAGAAATATCAAATGGGTAAAACATCAAAGTTCTAAGATTTAAAGTTGACAAAGTTTAGAAGTTTTACATCTGCAGAACTGCTAACATAAAAGTTACAATTATTAGAAAGCAAAACTAAGAGAAGAATCGGTACAAAGATTAATCAGAGAATAAGGAGTTACTGCCTTCAAAAAAAAAAAAAGTTAAGCTAATTAGAAGATTAGCAAGAACATATTACTTGTCACTGCCTTTCATAAAAATTCAAGAAATATTGAAATCAACGACGTTAATTTGGTTGCCTCTTAAAAAACAGTCGAAAATCTTTTTGAAACTGCAAAAAGTAAAAGAGATTATTGGCAATGTAAATTCTGCCCGAGATCTTGTTTAAGAATAATAAGAGTTTCTCCTAGAAAATTCTCCTCTTTTTCTTTCAGAATGAGTTATTAAACAGCTACTTTACGGAACGGCAGTCCTCTAATAAGAATAAAACTTTTCGTTTTTGTTTGGCACTGAAAATGGAGAATAACAAATGAAAAAACCGAAAGTATTCTTGACAAACAGGTTTCAGAAAAGAAGACATTTAAATGTTTCCAAAACTACTGCCGTAGAGTCTCTTACTGACTAAATTGCAACAGATTTTGTCCTATAATATAATTTACAAGAGCAATATCAAATTCATCGTACAGCCGGTTCCTTTTTGGAACAGCAAAGCACCGGTTCAATTTCTAACTCCTCAACTCCTGAAACTAATAAAAATCTGTTTTTCTTTCCAAAAAATTTGTAATTGCTCGCTTATAAAGCACTTTAAGAAGACTTGAGCAGTAGGACAATCAGAAATGCAGAGCTCAAATAAACTACTGCAAGTATATGTGTCACCAATTTGTCTAGAGAGCCGTAAGATATATGAAAGTCAGAAATGTGTGGACATACAACAGTAAGATAGTACAATTACATTATCGTTACAAACCTACAAATATTAATTATAATCACCCTCCTGTTTATCTTTGCAATTCCGTCCTCAAACTCCCTGAATAAGAATCGAGACTTCCAGAACGAGACTTCTCAACTCCTGCAGGCAAAATGTGTACACCAAGAACAAAAACTATTGTCAAGTACAAAACGAGATTTTGTTAGTAAAGGTTATCGAATCATTTAGTCCTGTTAGATTTGCGTCCTACTGTTCAATGTAAACCACAATTGTGCATCAAGAAACTGAAAAGTAATTTTTGTTTAAAATGCTACTGTTCAGTATGTCAAATTTACAGTCAGGATCTTAACTACTTTCCAGAATTTTGGTTCAAACCCATGCATGTTCAGGCAACTTTTATACACAAGGAAACAAATTTATTGATTCTTGACTGGAAATTAATCGAAGTAAGAACATGCAGAAATTTTTTTGTACTAGGAACAACAAAACTGTCACAGAATCTTACCTGCGTTATAGTCAAAGGTAAACGTCTTGTCAAAAAAACTGCTTGAAAAAACAGAAGTTGTTGGACTACGATCAGCTTCGTCGGAATCTGACAGGGTTCCCATTAGAGAATCGTATCGAACTGAACTTATCCGGCGTCGGGTAACTGGGGCGGTATTTGGGGTCGACTGGAACTTCAGTATACTTTACTATTTCTTAATGAAACATCAATCTTTTGAGAAATTCACGCAAAAAGCTAAAAACCAAGCATCTAAAAACCTGTTGCTGCTCCTTGTCGTCCTCTTCAAACGACGATTTTTCTGCTTTAACTCCATTCCTCATCATCCATTTCGTCATCTGCCACGGTATTTGGCTCAGTGCGGCTTCATTGATAGCGTCTTTTACGTCATCTAGCTGTTCCTCAGCATTGTAAAGCTTTGTTTGATTCACAAACTGAATAAACCATTAAGCAGAGGATGACCTCAGTAAAAAATTGTTTGAGGGTCAGCTGTGAAACTACTTTCTTTAAACTTTTAGAAATAAATTGAAAAAAGCTAAATTAAATACGATATTACTTGGCAAAAAATTGATGATAAAGAAGTTTTTGTTGCCGAATTTGACAAGTGTACACTTGTCTAACTCCTATTCAGTAAATCAAAAAACTATGGTAACGTATAACAAAGATTAGAATCATTTACTGTGTTTACTGTTTGATCAACTTTTCATTTTCTTATTGGCGACTAAATTCACCGGACAGCATTGACGAGCAATTCCTTGAAAATTTACCCTTCTAACGTTACTTTTAAATGCTTTTCTAAACTTTATCAAACATAAGGAGTTGTTCTGCTAGAGCATTTCTTTTTTGTTTAAAGTAGCTTTTATTCTCCCCGTAGTTCGTCATTGCTTTTTTATAAAAACAGTTATTTTGTATCTTTCCTGGTAAACCTGCATCATATCGCGATCAATTCGTCGATTCTGATAAATCAACCTACAACCAGCCATACCGAGACGTTCAATTTCTGAGAAGTCACCTTCACCAACTCCTACGAACACTATTGATATAGGAGCTCTTGAAGCAAAAATTATTGCCTAAAATGATTTTTATAAAAAGAATATTTTGACATTTTAACAGTTTTAATCACAGTTATTTTCAAAATTATTTGGGTGGACAGTAAAAATATGTGTAACTTTACTTGAACCGTCTCTTTTAGATCGTCGATATAACCGCGAGTTAGTATCAGGACTACAAAGTATTGTGGCGGTAATACACTTTCGCGCTTTCGTAGAATATCTGCCATTCTAAAATAAAGTAAGAAATGCTTGCGAAAAAAAGCTTTTTGATAATCACATGAGTTCAATTGCTTACCACAAAAAATTTATAACTGGATTTGCTTTTTACTATTTAGATAATAAAATTATGCTAGTTTTTTAAATTTTAACTGCATAGTTAATTGGATGGAAGTTAGCAGAATTGAAAAATTTTCTCCTACTTGGCAATGTAATAAATAACGTGTGCAA